CCTTCAGCTGCTGTTCCAACAAGGTTTTATCCGTTTCACCTGCAGAGAAAACATCAGCTGTCAGAGTTTTGCTGTTGATCATCCACAGAGTTAGCAGCATGCTATGACTTCACCCATCACATAGTCATCCACCCACTATGTCAAAACTGCACAAAATTATAACTGGCCCAAAAAACTGGGGCGCGATGCAGTTTTCAGGGCGTGTAGACAAACTCACCTGTGACTGTGAGGTTGATGAAGAGACTGATCTCAGTGTGAGCTCTTTTACTGCTCACAGGGTTCCTCACAGCTACGTGACACTCATACATCCCAGTGTCATTAAATGTGACCTTCTTCAGGATCACAGACACGTCTCCATCCTTCATCTCCGGGTGCCTCAGCTTCACTCGGCCATGAAAAGATGGATGTTGGTAATTTTCATAGAAGCGTTTGTTCCTGTAGAAGTAGACGTAGCCGTCTGTGTTCAGGTCAGCTCTGCTCCACTTTACCACTGAGATTCTTTCATCTGTGAAAATCTGACACTGAAGAGTGACGTCCTCTTCAAGCTTCGCCTGCACATCCTGCTGCAGAAAAGAAAAGAATCAATCTTTTTTTCCCACTGTTAGAACAGGATATTTAAAACTGAACACACCACAGTTGATCCAAAAAAAGCCTGAAAAAATGTCAGAGGAAAAAAGGGTGTTTTTGGTTCCACACATCACAAGTGTGAAAATGTCATGGAAACCTTTTTTTTTTTTCATCCAGTGCAGGCAGGTTTTTCTTTTTAAATGTCTAAAAGTACACCGAGATATCTTGAACGTGATCATTGTGTTTTATTTATTTATTTATTGTATTTATTAATTTACATTTAGCATTTGTGTAAACTAAAAGTACATTTTCAACCTCTGTGACTGTAAAAACAAGTCAATCCTGAAGCAGTAAAAAAATGCAGTGCCTCTAATGTTCACTTACAGCTTCAAAAGAGACCGTTTGTATTAACTATTATCCTAGAACGGCAAAATAAGCAGTCTACAGACTTTAAACTGTTTGGGTCTTCGTACCTAATTTGCCCCTTTCTAATAACTCCATATGGATGATGCCGAGGCTAGAAATGAGGAAAACACTTGATTAACGCGGACCTAACAGAGGTGGTTGTACCTGCCCGCAAGGCTTCACCTCAGCTTTTGTCTATGATCACGGAGTCCATTTGAACACCTGTGTTAAACATGATCCTATTATTTGAAGTTGTTCAGGAGATATCGTGTTCACAATAAGATAACTCCTCTGACCACAGGTTCCAGCTCAGTGTGAGTCTGTAAAAGTCCTTCACCAGTTTTTTCCAATTGGATTTAAAGCACTCGTGAA